AATGAGTGAACAAATGAGGGTTTATATGCTTTCTCAAGTCAGCTTGGGCTGTGTGATATTGTGAAATACGTATCTGGTTTTTGACTCCGTTTCCTGGCATACAACACCTAAAATGCTTAGAAACTCCAAAGCAATGTCTTTCTGTATGCTAGTGAGTTGACTGTAGGCTGGCAGCTCCTAGGTAGCTTCAGGATGAGAGCTGGTCACCAGAAGGGGCTGAAGATTAAGTCAATGGCCAGTGGTTTAATCAATCATGCCTACATAATGAAGCCTCCATAAAACCCAGAAGGAACAGGATTCTGAGAGCTGCCAGACAGCTGAACACATGGAGGATTACAGGGAGGTGAACAAGAACTCATCCATGTGCTGGCAAAGCAGAGCACCCTGACTCTGTGGGGACAGAAGCTCCTGTACCCAGGACCCTTCCAGACCTCACCCTCTGTGTCTCTTCATCTGGCTGTTTATTTGTAACCCTTAAAATATCCTTCTTGGCTGGGTGTGGTGGCTCATGCCTGTAATCTCAGCACTTTTGGGAGGCCAAGGTGGGCAGATGACTTGAGCCCAGGAGTTGGAGACCAGCCTGGGCAACATGGTGAAACCCCATCTCTACAAAAAATGTAAAAATTAGCTGGGTGTGGTGGTGCATGCCTGCATTCCCAGTTACTTGGGAAGCTGAAGTGGGAGCATTGCTTGGGCCCAGGGAGGTTGAGGCTGCAGTGAGTACCTCTGTCTCAATAAATGAAATGAAATGAAATATCCTTCTTAAGAAACCAGCAAACCTGTTTCCCTGAGTTCTGTGAGCCACTCTAACAAATTAGTTGAACCTGAGGAGGGTGTTGTGGGAACCCCAATTTATAGCCGGTCAGTCAGAAGTTCTGGAGACCTGGACTTGTGACTGGTGTTTGAAGTGGAGGGTGGGGTCTTGCCCACTGAGCCCTCACCCTGTGGGATTTGATGCTATCTCCAGGTAGAGAGTGTTGGAATTGAATTAGGACATACAGCTGGTGCCCCACAGCAGAGTTGAGATTGCTTGCTTGTTGGTGGGGAAAACCCCCCACACATCTGGTCACAGAGGTCTTCTGTGTTGGTTGTGGTTGTTAAGTGGGAGAACAGGAAAAGGCACATTGAGTGTATTTTGTTCCACACAAACAGGCCGCTGTACAAAATACCATAGACTGTGTCTTAGTCCCTTTGGGTTGCTCCAGTCAAATATCATAAACTATGTGACTTATAAACAAACATTTATTTCTCACAGTTTTGGAAACTGGGAAGTCCAAGATCAAATGGCTGGCAGATTTGGTGTCTGGTGAAGGTGTTCGTCCTTGTATAGATGGTTGTCTTCTTGCTGTGTTCGAAGATAGTGGAAAGGGCAAACCAGCTCTCTGGGGCCTCTTTTATAAGGGCACTAATCCCATTCATGAGGACTCAGCCTTCATAACCTAATCACCTCTGAAAGGCCCTAATATTTCCTAATACCATCACCTTGAGGGCCAGGATATCAACATACAAATTTGGGGGGATATAAACATTCAGTACATTGTAGCCTGGGTGGCTGAAACAACAGAAATTTAGCTTACAATTCCTGATAATTTGGGTCCTGGTGACAGTCCTCTTCCTGGCTTGCAGATGACTCTCTTCTTTCCATGTCCCCATGGCACAGAGAGATCGCAAACTATCTAGTATTTCTTCTTATAAGGGCACAAATTCCATCATGAGGGCGCCAGCCTCTTGACCTCATCTCAACCTAATCACCTCCAAAGGCTCCATTTCCAAATACCATAACATTGAGGGATAGGACTTCAACATATGAATTTGGGGATGGGGGACACAATTCAGTCCATAGTACATGCATGATCTCATTTGATCCTCCAGAAACCCATGACATAGTTTCCATTTGAAGATGAAGAAAAGGAAGCTTAGAAAGGTGAGGCTGCCAATGGCCATTCTGCGAGGTAGAAATGGAACTGGGAAGTTTTCAAATCTAGGGAATTAACTAAGGAATATTTGCCTTAAAAACAAGTCTTGCTGACTCCCGAGGCCTGGAGACGTTATCTAGTTTGGTTTTGAGCCATTTGGTCTGAAGGTAAATATAAAAATATGTGAGGCGAGAATGTAAAGAGAAACTACAATGAAGAGGAGGCTATGGAGGGATGGGCATTTAGCAAGGTGCAGGGGAGTACCTGGACACAGAGTGAGAGGATCCTGGAAAAGCGGCTTGTCTCCAGGAAGCAATTGGGGGAAGGAGTTTCACAGGAAACTGGATCTTGGAAGGTTGGTGGGGCGGAGGGGAGGTGGGGGTTGGAATTATGATGTCAATTCTCATCAGGAAAATGTTTGACTCATGTTCACTCACCCCTTTGGCCTTGTTCCTAGGTCCCACACCCTTTTGCTGGCTCTGACAGGTTTTTCAGAGCAGAAAAAAGAAGAAAACACACACACACACACACAGAGAAAGGAAAAAAGAAAAAGAAAAGGCATTTCCCTCCCTGCACCGTATACCCAGGCAGTGGGAGTTACAAAGATCTCTCTGTTGAATAGATCTTAGAATAAGAACATTTCTCCCACATCGAGCCAGTGTGAAGATAAGGGTGAGGTTCTCACAGTCCTCTGAAGCCTAATTAAGTCACAGTGTTCTGGAAAGAGCACTAGTAACACTATATCTCAATTCAGATAACATTTATTAAGCTCCTTTTCTGAAGCAGGAACTGTGGAAGGTGCTAGAGTTTTAAGGGGCTCTGTATCGCTTCCTCCATCTTTGGGAAGTTGTCAGCTATGTGATGATTTAGATACTTTGGGGCACCAGCCCCTTATCTTGACCACAGGTGTGGGCTGTGCCAGGATATACTGACCCTTCTTATTCTCTTACTTATCTTCCCATTTGCAGCTCTTCCATTAACTGAGTGCAGCCACTAGTCTCCTGGCTCCTGCCAAGAAAGAAATTCAGAGGCTGAGGAGGGAGGATGGCTTGAGCTGAGGAGTTCAAGGCTGCAGTGAGCTACGATGGTGCCACTGCACTCCAACCTGGGTGAGAGAGTGAGACTCTGTCTTTAAAAAAAAACAAAAAGACATTCAGGAAAGCTTGGCCCACTCAATTAGACCATTAAATCTTAAATTGTCACATGGCCTTGAGAAAGCCACATAGCATCTCTGAAGTATAGCATATCATAGCATCTCTGAAACATAGCATATCTGAAAATAAATACACCCTTTTTGCTCACCTCACAGGTTCTTAGGGGAATATTAAATGATGTATTATGCACGTGCTTTATAAGCAGTAAAATATTACATAATGCTGTGGTGACCCTCATAGGGTTGATAAGCTGCAGAGCCTTAAGCATCACCTATTATCACCCTGTATTTATTGTGTGCTGGGCCCTCTTCTAAGCACTTCGCAGATCTTAAGCCCTTGAATCTGCTGAGCATCCCAAAGGGGCAGATACTGAACAGGGAGGTTGAGTGACTTGTCCAGGGTCGCACAGTAAGTAGCAGAGCTGAGATTCAAGGCCAGGTAGTCAGGTTCCAGAACCCACATTGTTAAATACCAGACCAAGCTGCCTCCTGTGTGCCCCGCTGATACTCCCTGTGTCTTCCTCCAGGAGCCCCTGGCAGAGATGACAATTGCTTGCCTTAACAATAGATAAGCTACCGGAAGGCAGGGCCTGTGCCTCATTCACACACACCCACAGTGCCTGCCACATAGCTAGAGTTCAGGAGATAATTGTTGAATGAACAAATATCCTCCAGGGAGGCATACAATAAGTCTGATACAACTACTGTGTTTTTCCTTCATCTTTTCTTGGCTGACCACACCAATTTCCTTCAGTTGTTTCCAATAGGAGGTTGGCATTTCTCACTGTCCTCATTGACCTCCTTTGCACTTTCTCCACGTCAACAGTGACCCATCTAAAGCTGACTACTGTGACATGAACACTGCACTTGGAGAATAGCCTGACCAGCGCTGGGCTCAGTAGAACTATCCTTTCTTCTCCCATGATGTGTCCTCACTGTCCAGGACTCTCTTCTCAGAAGCCCTACCCCTGTACTGTTTATATGTTTAATGATACCAAGTACCCGAAGTGACCCTTCAACTGTTACGAGGCAGATAAGTAGACTCCATTAAACCTTTTCCTTCCTTCTTCCCCTCCTTCCTTTTCTCTCTCTCTCCCATTCTTCTTTCATTCTTTCTCGTCCTTCCATCCTTTCTTCCTTCCTGCCTGCTTTTCTTCCTCCCCTCCTCCCTTTCTTTCAGGTCTTTTTTTGTGGTAGGAACTGGTAAGAAAAGGAAAGGGATTCCCTAAGGTTTTAAGGAAACACCACCACAAACCAGGTTATGTTTGGTGAGGGAGCTAGGGCAAGAAACTGCGTCTTCTAATATGGAATCCAGGTAATTTATCAGTTTTTTTTTTTTTTTTTTCATAGCATGACTACTGTGAGATTTTCTTGTAAGAAAAAAAAAAAAATACCAGCATCGTTGGCCTCATATATTGGATTATATTTAAGGGGATCAAGGGACAAGATGTTTGAATTTGGAGATGTCTTGGAAAATCCTGTGGTGGACACAAATGTTTGCAATGTCTCTGCTGGACTCCTGAAATTGGGAAAAAAGAGACTCTGGTACTCATAGACTCAAAACCTGAGAAAAAGCGAGATGCGATTATTAGAGAAACCGGCATGGCACGCACAAAAATGTGTCTATTCCAGCCAGGGCTTTTTCTTTTCAGTTGTTTGTTTTGGTTAGAGATGACTTTGGGGAACTGAATGTCCCACTGGACATTCCGAGCTGCGTTGTCGGAGTCGTAGGTCACCGCTTCCAGTCAGCGGAGCCGCCGCCCCCCGGGTCCGCGACCCAGGAGCTGCGGGCGGGGCCGCGCCGGCGGGAGCGCGCGCCTCAGGCGCCGTCCGCGGGTGGAAGCAGAGGAAAGACGGCGGCCTGGGAGCGCGCGAGGCCGCACGTGCGCGCGCCCGCCCGCCAGCCAGTCCGCGCGCCCACGCGCCCACGCACGCTCCCGCCCACCCGTAGGCCCGGGAAGTCTCGCGATGCCGTAGCCGGCTGCTCCCGCTGCGGGTGGCTCAGGCTGTTGCTGTGGTTGCCTGAGTTGCTGCTGCTGCGGCGGCGGCAGCGGCGTCTGTGCTTGTGGAGGTGTTGGCCTCTGGGCGGATGTTGACATTGTGTTGTTGTTATTGCTAATGGTAATGGCGGCGGCGGTGGCGGCGACGGTCCCGACCCCATCTCCTCTGTAGCGGGAGCCGAGAGAGCCTACAGCGAACTCCGCGGCCTCGGAGCCGGCGGCAGCGGCGACCCCCCTCAGCCTCCGCCGCCTCGCCCGCGGGTACCCCGGCGCCAATCCCGGGAGTCAGGCCCCTTTGGGCAGGGGCTCTCGGAGGCTCAGGATGGCGGATTTCGACGAAATCTATGAGGAAGAGGAGGACGAGGAGCGGGCCCTGGAGGAGCAGCTGCTCAAGTACTCGCCGGACCCGGTGGTCGTCCGCGGCTCCGGTCACGTCACCGTGTAAGGCCCGGAGAAGGGCGAGGGCGGGAGGTGCGGGCTGGGGTGGGCCCCGTTACTCCACGGGAGCGCGGTTTCCCCTGTGTCCGTCGGGTGTCGGTGGCCTTCGGAAAGAGTCGGCGACCAGGAAGTGAGAACTTGGCTTATTTTCATTTGTTTGGGTCTCCGAAGTGGGGACGGACGCTGTCCTTCCTCCTGCAGGCCCGGGCGATGTGACGATCCCAGTAGGCACGGGTTTTCATTAGGGTCTGTCCTGCGGGCCACCCTTCCCCTTCAGGGTGTATTGACGGGGAGCCTCCTTGTTTTCTCGCCCAGTTATCCTGTGGTTCTCTGTGCCTTTGCACCCAGTGACATGGCTCAGAGGCCAGATCTGGGTCGTGTGAGACCCCAGTGACAATTGGCAGCGAAGCTCCCTGTCGTGTCTGTTTCACACATACCCACAGTTCTCCCAGTTCTTCCACACATTTCCGCACAACTAATGCAAGTTCTTGTAGTTGTACGTGATAAAAATACATAGTTGAACACAAATTTAAGATGTGCAGAAAGAAATATGTTTACAACAACAACAAAAAACTACGTGAGGGACATACACTCTGCTCAGGTTGCTGAGGGAAAACTGTCCTGAAGTTCCTCCTTGGGGCACGAACTTGGGGCTTCTTAATTTGGAAAGTCCCACTAGTAACATTAAAAGTTTGGTATTAAACAATAAGGAATGAAAGCTTTCAGAAAGACCATGACAAATAAAGGAATGTGAAGACTTGAACCAAATAATGAGCTGTCCGGAAGCAGGAAGTTTTGTAATATTTCTCTGTGAAGTCCACAGTTTTGTACCACTTGATGTATTGATACTCTCCCTTGTTCAAATCATAGATCAAACTTCCATACTTGCCAGGTATCTCTGTACTTCTTCACTTTTTCAGTAAAAGAGCCAGCAAGTCTGAAAATATCTGGAATAGTCTTCATTATATTTTGGTGAAGAGTGAGTGGGATGTGCTGTGAATAACTTAGGGAAACAGTAAGACTTCTCATACAAGTTTGTCAGCAAAATAATTGCATTTCTCATATGACCAGCCGTATTGTTGTTTGAGTATGCTTATGTAATGCTTTGATTTCTTTAGCACCTGTTAGTTTATATTCAGGTGACTTAACAGGGTAAAAACACTGCATAATTGCCATCACAGCACCATGACAAGACAGTGGAATTTATCACCACAGTAATACTTTCTAAGTGTTGTCACCAGCCTAAGAAATACAACCAAATATCATGGATATTAAACTTTTAACATGTATCACAGAATTCATAACCTGCCGTTTGATTTTATTTTGACTTTTATGACCTTTTTGCATTGTTTTAAGCCTCAGGAGTATGTGGATGCTTAAAGAAGTGATTTCCACACTTTGTCATGCCGTCTATCCCTCCTTCTACATTCCTCATATCAAAGAAAAGCTAAATCTTGTCATTTAAAAAGACGCCGCTGTAGTTGTAATGTTACCTCTATTAAGGAGAAGAAAAACTAAGCACTTTGTTGAAAGTGGAAAATATAATAGTGGACAAAGTGCTCAGAACCTAAGTAATCAGTAAACTTGATTGTGGTTGGCTACCTGGAGAGATTAATAGGGTAGCAAAGAATTATTAGTGGTTTTCAAACTTAGCTGTCCATTAGAATCCTGGGTGACTTTAAAAAAAGACCCTTGTCTTTGCTCTACCCCAGGCCAGTTGAAGGCCAGGTACTAAGTGAGGGTGCTAGGCATGGATAGTTAAAATTATAAATAAATAAATAATACAATCTCACAGGTGATTCTCATGTGTAGCCAAGATTGAAAACTATTCCAGGTTATAGGGAGGGGCTATCTATCATCAATAAACAGTATGCCTTTTTACATTGGGAATTAAATCTCTGATCTTCCTCAGCAATTTCCTTCTTCTCCCATTTATCTTGGTTCTGGGCTCTGGGTTAAAATCTATCTCAGCTACTTCCTGGTTAAATTGTTTATTCATGACCTTTAGTTGAGATGGGGGTAGTTACAGTCGATACCTTTTAAGATTATTAAGGATTAAATGAGATGGTACATGAAAAGAATTTATTGCCGTGTGTGGTACTATGTTCAGTAGATACTAGTTTTTTATTATTCTCCTCAGATATAGTTTTACACTTTGAGAAACAGGTGTAAAACAAAGTACTAAAAAATTAGAATTGCCATTGTCAAACATAACAGTGATTCACTTTAGTGTTATTTTTCCATTTCTAAGCAATGTGTATGTGCTTAAATTACTGTTTGAAGTATTTTGATGACAATAAGGATCTTTCTGCATTGAAAACTTAAGCCTATTTTGTGGCACATAGGTAATAATACAAAACTTTTTTTTTTTAACATGGCTCTGTCATGCATAATTCCCAGGCACACTAGCACACTATGCCAATGGATAGCCCAGTTAGCACCTATAAAGGTTTTTAGAATTGGTGCATATGTGTTACTATGACTGTTGAGGACATTCAGTTTTTCTTGCTTTAAATATAAATGGGAGGAGCTATTAGAACAGTTGTAGTAAGACTGGCTAAATTTGTCACTGCCCCTCACACCCCCTCCCCCACCTTTTTTTTTTTTTAACTGAGGTGCTGATCAGAGCAGTCTTCCCTTACCAATTTGAAAGTAATTGACCATGTAAACTGAATCATCTGTAGTCTAGATCAGTCTGGAAGGATATAGATCAATCCATATGTTTTTCACAGATGTAACTTTGAGTAGGCCTTTACAGTTGACTATTTCTGCTCTTTTTTTCTAGTTTAATATATTACAATACTACTGTTTATTTTTAGAAACTATTGTATTCTCACGTGACATGATTGGCATGTCATTGTGGTGATGTGAGAAAGAAAGTTACCTTCCATTCTCTAGGTTGGTCTCTAGGCATAATCAGATTTTTGTGACATAGGATGCAACATGTCTAATTTGCCTAAAGTCTGCTTTAAAGTGGCTTTTAATACAAATATTTTCCTTTTTTAAAATACAAATGTTTTCATCCTGACCCCAAATCAGACTTATTTTTTATACTTCTCTCATGATCAGTATTCTTTTCTGACATTCTTCTGTTAAGTATAATATTTCCCTTCATTGTTAGATTTCTATGTAGCAGTATGGAGAAATCTTGTGCAGAAGCATATTTTGAGGAAAGTGGTATTGAAAGGAAGGAAGATAAATGATAAATTCCTATTATTGCATAATATTTTGGTACATGTAACCTAAAATACTTACACTTACGATTCAATTAAAAGTAGATTTTCTTTTTGCTTTCGTGGTGACTTCTCATATAACTGACGATGAGGAAAAATAGTTTCTAAAAGCAACAGTAATACTGTAAAAAGACTATTAGGTAGTCTTGATCAGATTGGTTAATATTTTAAAATTATGGAGTTCCTTATGTTTCAAAATATATTTGCAAAATATGTTGATCATTTATTGAAGAGTTTCATTTTTCACAGTAATAACTCTAAAAGATGTGTCAGTCTAAAAGTTAGAATTTAAAAGTAGTTTTAGGCCAATATTTCCTAGGTAATCTATCATTATAACAGACATTATTTGCTCCCATCCCCACTTTCTACCCTTGTTATATCAGAATCAAACTTAGGACTTTCCTAGAGTATGTATAATCTTTGACTTCTAACTCAAGCCCTGTCATAGAGCCAAGTTATTTTGCTGAGATTTGTTTCTAATGTTATTCCCTTGTAATTTTACTGTGTCTTCATGTACTCTCTTCTGAGGTGTAATCTTACCATCTCCACAAATAATTCCTTATCCTTCAACACCAGTTTTTATCAATGGCTGTCAGAAACCACTTTTTGCTTGTTTTCCTTCCAGATATGTTATGGAAGATTAAAGATTTAGAAATGTGACTTGAAAATGTTTGGAAAGTACATTGGGATGATTTTTGAATAAGAGACATCACAAGAACACCTTAGTGTTTATCGATTTTTCAAATGGTAGAGTTAGTAAAAAATTGTCTTGAAATGTGTCAGTATTTCGGGACTGCTACTAGATGCTGTGGTTAGCAGTAAGAGACCTGAATGTGAGTTGCGAAATTACAGAATCTTTTCAATAAAACAATTTCATTAAACTTTATAATTCCTACCTCTTTCTCCCACCCAGCATAATCTTTAAGACATATTCTATTTATTTCTAAAGCTTAAGCTTTCTGTTTTCAAATTTTTGAAGGCCTCATTAATGTATCTCCACAGGATATAAAGTTCTTGCGGGCAGGGGTTGTGTTTATTGATCTTTCTTTATTCTTTAATGTAGTGTCTAGAATACTATAGTTCCTATAATATTTTCTAAATGAACGAAGTAATTGTATACATCTTTGGATTTTGTCAGAATTGCCAAATGAATCACTGTTTTCTTCTCTGTCTGCATCTCCTAACAAAGGCAAACGATATTCTGTAACTACTTATCACATTGAAAAGATAAATGCCTCCTCTGTTTTAAAAAATGGAATCTGGTAATTGTGAGGAAATTATCAAATTAAGGTAGATTTTTTTTTAATAACTCTTTTTGTTTTTTTTTCTCAAGAGTTGTTTTTTTTTTTTTTTTGAGACAGAGTCTTGCCCTGTCATCCAAGCTTGTGGGCAGTGGCCCGATCACAGCCTACTGTAGCCTTGACCTCCTGGCTCTAGTGATCCTCCTTTCTCAGTCTCCCAAGTAGCTAGAACTACAGGTACACGCTGCTATTCCTGGCTAATTTTTTTTAAAAAATATTTTTTTGGTTTTTGTAGAGATGGGGCTTCACTGTGTTGCCCAGGCTGGTTTTGAACTCCTGGCTTCAAGTGTTCCTCCTGTCTCAGCCCCACCAAATGCTGGGATTGTATGTATAAACCATCATGTGTGGCCTCCCAGAGATTTTTCTTATTCCATATAGTTTGAGAGGAAATTAATTTGATTATAATTTGGACGTATCTTTGGTAGTATGAACAAAAAATTCTGTGCGTTTTATTTGGACCAACTACTAA